ATGTATATACTTAAAATAATTAAATAATCTTCTTTCTTAAGCAACGTCGTCTGATATCTGAAACAATATATTATATATTAGAATATCATCAAAACAGAAAAAATATTTTCATATTATTAAGAGTAGAAAAAATTTCAAATAAAATCACTAACTAGTAAATTCTTTGTACCTATTTAATATCTTGAAATAGACCAATACTATTATTTTGATAAGTAAATTTTCATATAACATTAAAAAAATATAAATACAATGTATTTAATAGATACCAAAGCTACCTATATCAAAAGTAACGTACTTAGTAGGTATCTAATAGTTATTTATAAAACAAATAAAACCTAACATTATTATATTTGTAGGTGAGTGAGTTAAATGTGAAATAATTACAGTGATCGGGATGCTGGGTGCCTCACAGACAATGCCAACTGACATTTAGGTGTCAGTCAAAAACAATTTGGAATTTGGTGAGCGAGGGTCGAACTAATACACGGAATTATAGAGATGATATTACACATGTATTATTTAATATTACTATATTATATGATGCCTATCAGAGCCCACTGCTGAGCTAAAGCATCTTCTCACATGAAGAAGGTTTGAGCATTAATCACCACGCTTGCTCAAGACGGGTTAGTGATTTCAAACTTATTATTTGACATTATAAGTCCAGGTTTCCTCACGATGTTTTCCTTCACCGTCTCTCAGTGGTGTCTAAATACTCTTTAAAAATTTCATTGGTATTTGCCAAGTTTCGAACCCGCGCTCTTATGCACGAGAGGCGGGCTTTTTAACCACTAGGGCACCATGATTTCTTTTCATACTATACTATATAAATATTAAAATATATTTAAATTAACAAATTTAAATACTTTATTACGTAGTTTTATTCAAAATAATTCAATAATTATTTTTTATATATAAATGTGTGTATTAACAGCTCTATATAGATACATTCGTAGCATATTTCAGCATCGTCCCGGGCTCTGCAACATCCATCATTTCCTCTCCACTCGCCGGGTTAAACACATAAGTGACATTGACGCTTCCATAACCAGCTATACAAGAGCCGTACAACAAGCGAATATCAAACGGATCGTTAGAAATTGATGGTTCATATTAAACTGGTGATATTAGTTACTATACCTCTGTCTATTTTGATTTGTACAACGTAATTTGCTTTTGATTCTAACGCGATCTGATATACATCGAAGCTTTATTTCTTAATATTTTTATAATATTGAAGTTTGTTTATCTTTTTATATCTATTTAGAGAATTTTTTGATTTTAATTTGAATGTATTGATAAATAAAAACAAAACTATTCATTAACTTTTTCATTTCATACGCCATTATATACTTACCATATTAAAATTGTCTTCTATATAAATATATATAACTAAGATTTAATATAAGTGTAATTCTACTAAGTATTACGTAAATCGTGAATAACATGTTTTTTAAAACATCTCATCATTAATATACATAATTAGCATATTATCTATATAACTATATTAAGATTAAATTAAATCCATAACATAATATAGTTATATATTTTTAATAATTCTATCAAATCGCCCCAGATATCTGTTCTCGATGGACGTCATTGGAGCGTTGTTGACAAATGGTCTATCACAATACGTCCTGTAAATACATTGTTCATGAACGCTTTTTGTACCTTCCTTTAGACAAGACCGACGTTTTATTTTTCTATATTCATTGTAATACGCAGCCTTATAGGTAGAGTTAGTTCTACAACTAATATTAAACGAAAATTGATATCAATATAAGCGGAATTAAATATTATAATAAACAGCGTTTATTGTGAGTAAAATTATATATAAAAATATTGGCTTTACATATAAATATTGACAAAATATTGCTAATAATTTTTATTCGGTGAAATTATTCCTTTTATAGAGATCATAAACTGCATATAATAATAAGGATAAGGACTAATATATATAAATTTAAGTAATTTTTTTCTTGCCTCAATTTATTAATAAATTAAAAAGTAATATTTATAACTTAAAACAAGTTTCCTTATATATCGCTTACTTATTGCTTAAACTAAACATATGTAGGTACATATATGGAGCAAGTATATTCTTAATTGTATTCGTTTATCGATTCCTAATAATAAATCATTTTAATTATTCTATCATTATGAATTAAGATATATTTAATAATAATATAATTGGTATGATAGTTAATTACTATCATAATATATGTTCCACGATAAGAACGCTTTGATCGGGATCAAATGTTTTAACATCTGGACTAGATATAAATATAAACTGCATCATCATAAAATTAAATTTATAATATTTAGTATATATATTTATACATAATATAAGTAAGTCACTGGTGGTCTAGTGGTTAAAAAGCCCGCCTGTCATACATGAGGGCGCGGGTTCGATCCTGGTCCTGGCAAATACCAATGTAATTTTTCGAGTCATATGTACTTTCTAAGAATATTTAGACGTCACTGATCAATGCTGATTCCCAAAGAGGGTTGATGTCAGGCAGGCGGCGCGTCTTAAAAAAAATTAGACAAAATTATTCACAACATGTAAGGCAGACCCTGGCTATAGCCGGGAAATTGCCAAGTAGAAGATATAAGTATGCCCAAAATATCTTTAACAAAACTTCAAATATACGAATTGAATACAACTATGCATTGAAAAAAATAAGTATGTATGTGATTATTATATATGTATGTATATATAGAGTTACAAAGTTTTAGAGGTACCAGTCATAAGACCATATTCAAATATCCATTAAGAGTTTCTTAGAGAGCAGTCAATGGCGCGGGCGTCTAGTTCGGACTGGGAATTAATTAGAGCTGCCATTCAAAAAGCATTCAACTAATGTAATTATATGAACGGTGAGTAAATCGGAATTTAAAAGATACCTAATCTATATAAGATTGTATGGATTATGATTACTATATGAAAATACTGAGGAACTGATTTTTATTTAAACTGTAAATATATATTAATTATTACAAAAAAAAAAACATAAGTACGTCAAAAATTAAAGATTCTATCAAACAATGAAATCTGAGATTTTCGCGAGTCATTTATATGAAACTAATATTTTGTGGATATACTACGCTACTTTATTTTTGATAAAGTATGTACGTCGTTTTTCGCAATATATTGGTTTCATTCTATGAAACATTTTAATATAAAGATATGCTATGCTGCTTCAATATTATGCATGCATTTGTATAATTGTCAAAACTTTTAACAATAAAGTTATCAAAATTAAAGTATAGGTACATCAAAATCTAAAAATAACTTATCTATAATATAATTTGATACAAAAATAACTCACCTGTATATATTATATATAAATATATTTAATATTCGCTTAGTAATGTTAATAAATGGTATTATTCGCAAGAATTTAAATAAAATCACAGTAAACACGAGCAGCCATATTTGTTAAATGGTGGCGACGCATGCTCGTTGTCAACGGAATCCTAGAATTTTGGGGATGCTCTTTTGTCTCTTTCACACCAACATGATTTATATATAGCTGTCCCACTCACACGGTCCTATTGTTCAAGCGCAAGAGGGTCGAATTCTTTTGTCCGAAAACACGTGAAGTTAGCCGCGTGAGTTTGTGAATTAACGAAATACTGAAATTACAGCTTGTATATACTATAAAAGTATTTAAAATAATATTAATACATCGAATATACTATAAAAATACAAGTTAAAGAATTTAAATATAAATACTGAATAGAAATTTCAAATAAATGTTCTAATAACTCTCAAAGAATTATTTATTTCCTATCAATCAATATTTCGAAATTTTAAAACGATTGGTATATATGTAGTTTGATTCTTAGTAACAAAAAGTAAAGATTTAAACGATTAGTTACTAAGTATATATATTGAATTACCAGTAAACAATTGTTACATAATAGAATAAAGTGCAGGTAGCGTCAGGTAGTCAAGATTAGTCCGCAGAATCCATTCAGATCCGTTAAATCCAATGAACTGTCAAAACATGTCAAAACTACAAAATATTTGCACATTACAAGTCCCCAGAGACTTACTACACAGTAGTTAACTTTTAATCCCTTTTTAAAAAGGGTTAAAACCGTTTGTAAAAGCTATTGTAAATAGCCACTACCGCGTTTAATTTTATTATGTAGGTTTTAAATAAAGAAAAAATATACATATTAGGCAAAAAATTAAAATAACATATATTTATCCCTACTAATATTATAAATGCGAAAGTAACTCTATCTGTTTGTCTGTTACGCTTTCACGCATAAACCACTGAACTGATTTTAATAAAATTTGGTACAGAGATAGAGTTGATCTTGAGAAAGAACATAGCAAAGTTTTTATACCAGACTTTTGAAAGGTTCTCTTGAAAACGCGATATAACCGAACTGCACACGGGCGAAGCTGCGGGCGGAAAGCTAGTTACTTAAATAAATGAAACTGTTGATTGTATAAAAGATATTAGTTCAGAGATGTGAGAAACGTAAAAGCAAATGAAAAGATATAGAATGAAATGAAAATGTACGTAAAAGATATTATCTTAAAAGATATCTTACGTGTACATAAGGATATCTATTTAATTTATTTTTTTACTATATAAACTGTAGTTTAGTCTCTGAGGATTTGCCTAATAAATTTAAATCATTTAATTCAATGTATGTTATACTTTTATTTATATAATCAAACATGAGTCCAATATTAACTTCTCTTTATTTATATATTGACTAGAGAAGTATATACAATAAATAATTGTATCTATTATCACACGTACTTAATACTATATAGGAACTGTTTTTATTAATCAACTATATTTACATGCTTTATATTTAAAACTTCTGATTACTTACAATTGAATATAAAATAAAATTACTTTTCCTTATATTTGAAACTAAAAAAATATATGTTATAATAAAAACTATGATATTATGGAATATTTACATTAATTACAATAATGTTTTTATATATAGAAATAAGATTTTGTTGGTCACATTTTTGGTATACCATAAGGTATGTTGCAAGTTTGGTTGATGTTTCCAGTTAAATGGCTCATGTTAGTGATGGGGTTGCTTGTCAAGTGATAGTTGGGGTTCGGGAAATCCATGAATTTTGGTATTTGCTGCCTTGGATCAGTGAAGTCATTAACGGTGGCTGCTTTACTAGTCATATCTTCAAAGGGATCTGGTGAATTTGTTAACTTCCCGTCTTTTTTAGCCTTCATTCTTCTATTCTGGAACCATATCTTAATCTGCCTCTCCGTTAACCCTAATGCGTGTGATACTTCAATCCTTCGACGTCGTGATAAATATTTGTTGAAGTGGAATTCTTTCTCCAGCTCCAATGTTTGAAACCTTGTGTATGTTTGTCTTGTCCGTTTCGAGCCCTCTTTTTTGTCATCACCTGAAATGGCAAAGATTCTTCAGAGATTGAACAACAATAAATAAGTAAACATGTCTGTATATATGTTTTTTTTATCAACTTACCTCCAATGCTTTTCATCCAGGGATAAAATCCTTGTACGTCAGGCGCGGTGGCCATCTTGTCGTCGTTATAATCGTCACCGCCTGTCTCGACCCTCGTCACTTCTTGACACTTAGCTGAGAGCTCATCCGATGTCTGAGTGTCAGACACTCCGCCCACTGTCCGCTTGATCTTAATCTTAGTGTCATCCAAACTCTCATATTCACCGTGAAATCTCTGTAAATTGGATTCCTTTTCTATAGCCTTTTCGTCATTTCTCTTCCAGCTTTGCGTTTCGTTTCGGTACATCATTTGCTGTAACATATCTTGTGTGTAGGATTCGCTATATTTATCGACGTAGGCGTGTGGCCGTTTTGCGGATGTTTTGTTTAAAATTCCTCTTAAATTGGGTGAGTCCTCATCGTCTAAATGATTTGATTTGACAGCGCTGGATGCGCTTAATGGGGATCCGTAGCTTGTTTCTGGAATGCTGCATTGACTTGGAGAGTGGATTGATCGCGAATCTTCACCTTTCAAGTCTAAAGCGCTTTTAACACCATGCAAGCCCTGGTCGTAATAATTATCGGGAAGCTGCTGTGTGTACATGTTCATCTCTCGCCATCTATTTATAGTGTTTATATTATCTTGATGTCCATTATAGGTTTGGTAATTCGGCCAATTCGTCGGTTCCGTTTTGACTATCTTGTCTGTATTCACATAGGACCTGTATTGTTCGTTATTATAGTCATATCCTTGGGGATATGTATGGTTATGATATCCATAGAAGTTAGGATTCATAGGATATTGATATCCGTACTCCGTGTGCTGTTCACTTTGGTTAGGTTGGGAACTGTTCCACGTATCACTACCGCGGTTCGTGGTCGCCGCTGAGGACATCTTGAATACACTTAATCACACTGATAACATGGAAATCACTTGCACTGACTGCGCGGGCGACGGTCCGTTTGCGTGGTAGTCTGCGAATAGAATGCTGTACGCCAGAAGGCGAAACGACCCTAACAATTGTAATACTTTTATGTGACCTAAAAAATTTTGGGGTACCTCCAACAATAGCGTCGCCATTGTCCCTCTTCAGAGTTGTAAAACTAGATTGTCCGTCCCTTTTCAACGCAAATTCGTCTCATTTGAATTTATATGTTAGAAAGAGATGGAGACACTTTGTACATTTGGGGGAATATCTTGCAAATATCCTATGAATGTTTACAATGCCAATATTTCCAATAGAATGTGTATGTGTGCGTTCCTGTATCTACGAGCGATCATTGATTGAATCGAGATAGTGTGAGTATGAGAGGGTGGAATAGATTGATTTTATTCTATTATTGGTTTAGTGTAAAGCCACGTATGTGTGTCACTGTGCTGAATTAGCTATTGCATTTTATATAGGGTGATTTAAATACTAACATTTATTATTAGTACATTCAAGACGTATAAATTTATTTTTATTACATATTCAAGTCATTTATTTAATTAGTGAAGGAAATTTCTTTGTATATTCTAATTAAATAATTATTTATTTATAACTATAATTGTATTAGAATATTTGTCATAAAATTTAAACATGTAATTTTTAAATAATTAAACTTATAGAACTCAATGATTTTACATTATTATACATATAAAGCTATGCTGTAATACTGTGAATATTTTATTCTAGTATAACATAACGTAAACACCCTGTATCAAGTCCTGTGGCTATAGCACATAACTCATCGGGACAGAGCGGGGGCCATGACAAAAGCGCAGTATGCGTGCGCGTGCGACGCTCAGATATAACGACACTGACATACGTATATTGTTGATTAAGTTAATTTTTATTATTATTATTAAATAACAATCTTAATTTTCAAAGGTTAACCACCTTTTATATGCAGATTTTTATTTTATTTTTAAATATCAGGCTTCAATTTCATTGGATGTGTTTTGTTTTTTTAATTTTAAAATGAATAATTATTTCTAATCTGTGTTTCTTTTTGCACATATTTTACTTTTATCATGTCAATCCTTTATTAGAAATATCTAATATGGATTTTATTTCATTTGGAATAATAAACATTTTTCATTAATTCATCTCTTATATCAATATCAAATTTTTATTCGTTCACCTACAACCTCGTTTTTAATCATCATCATTATCACCATATCAGAGTCGACTGCTGAGCAAAGACCTCTTCCCTCATGCACGAAAGGCATGCCTTTTAACCTCTAGACCTTATTTATACAAATTGTAAAACCAAACTACATTTTTCCGAAATTTTCTTTTATTATGTAGATATCTGTATCATTAAGTGCACTCATAATAATAGAAGATTTTTTTTTTAGCTTTACATAAAAATAATGTTTTTCTCCTAATGCTAATTTAATATTATAATCGATTGATACAAAAAGAAATCATGAATTTTCAATTAACTTTAGGTAATATGATGTATATATATATAATAGGTAGGTTCCAACCACATATTCTAGATTGCAAGTCACGCTAGGTCTGCAATATTTTCTATCCAATAGTAACCATGGAATAATAAACCCATGCGTATTATGTTAGAGCCACCTATCACATCTGTTGTACGAACACACACCCACGCTAACATTTTACTTATAAATCATGTGCAACTACCCTACATATTATATCATTGTTGCTTTTGATAGAATATTTTGCATTAGCTAATTATACAAACTTCGCGACTTAAATAGAATGAAATTAAACTAATATTGAAGTATATATTAAAAAGTAGAATACTCTTTTAAAATATATTGAATGAACTAAATGGTTTGCTATCAAAATATTTGCAAGCAATAAAACTAAAATCAAACAACCAATATTGATATCAATGGATTTAAAAAAAACATTTTATAATATTTGTTCGTAACGGATGGCTATCAAAAATGTTCGTATGCGAATATAATTTTTATATCAAATATTTCTATAACCAACGCTATGTCGGCAACGATTTCGCAACTTTCAACTCTACGTCTGTAAAAATGGAAAATATAATGTTTTTTTTTTAACACAGCAGAATAAAAACCATTCAATATTCCTTTTGAATGACCGAGAAAAAAATTATAGAACTTATTCCGTACACCATAAGAGCTATTTCTGTATGTGCAACACGTGAAATTTCCGTCATACCGTGGCGCTGACAATGTGTTACCATTAATCTTGCGAAATCAATCGATGGCTTATTCAGAATATTGTATTTGGTTTTACTGCGGGGCCTTTTAGTTCGTGTTTACTTTGGACCTTTTTCTCAATTTATGGACATTATGTTGAAGAATAAACATCTGTCGCGGTATAATAACCGAGGCTGAAATACAATGAACGTTTAGTCACACCTGACAAACTTAAAAATGTTTTAACATAGAATTATGTATTACAAGATTCTCTTATCAGTTCTTATCTTGCTTAGTAGCGAAGTATAGTCGGTGTTTTAACAAGACCTCTGTATTTATTGGAGCTCTAAAACAATAAAAGCCTTCTAGCTAACTCCAAAACCCGCCTTTGATTTAGCCGCTGTTATTTTCTATTCATATTTACCTGCGAATTTTTTACCTAAGATATGATTTATGTATATCTTTATTACCTTTCATATTTTTCATAATATTCGTACTAACTGTGAGAATTATATTTTAAATAAAATAATATCAATAATGCATTTTTTTTTATTAATAGTATAAAACATGAGTACATGTGCAACATTCCGAAATGATTTTCACTCTTCGTGTTAACAATTGAATAATTATGTAAGGGTATTGTTCAAGTTCATTATTATGTCAACAGTGAGACCTTTGACAGTTAAAGTGGTGGATTAGAAGATTTATGGAGAATACGTTCCAAAGGATATTTACTTTCTTATATTACGAAAACTTACAACTAACATTTGAATGTAGTACAACTATTAAAGTTGTTTGCAATCTTAATTAAAATTTATTGATTTCATTTTTAGTACTTAAAAAGTGATGTATATATGTTTTATTATTAAAGTGGTTCGACTTAAGAATCGTATATCATGAAATAAACAAGCAACATCCGACAAACAATTTTATATCGTACTAGCTTTCCGCCCGCAGCTTCGCCCGCGTGGAGTTTGGTTATATCGCTTTTCCAAGACAACCTTTCAAAAGTCTGGGATAAAAACTATGCTATGTTCTTTCCCTAGGTCAACTCTATCTCTGTGTCAAATTTCATTAAAATCAGTTCAGTGGTTTAGGCGTGAAAACGTAACAGACAGACAGAGTTACTTTCACATTTATAATATTAGTAGGGATGACGCACCCAATACGTTTTACTCCTTTCATAAACAGTGAAACCCGTTTGATTTTACAACACATTTTTGCGAAAACCTAAGCTTTCTATTGCTTTATTCTGTTTTGCAATGTCGTAAACTAAAAAACAAACAAATGCTTCCTTGGAAATGGTTCTGAAGGACGGAGACGATCAAATGAAACTAGGACCCACCTTGAATGGAGAGACAAAAGTTGAACTTCCTTTGTTACTTTGTTTTGGAACTTCAATAATAAGAGTAATAATTGTTTCCATTTTAAAACATCAGATGTTGTATTTGTTAATAATAAAAAACTATTTTCTTTTATTCCCGCCGACCAAAAAATTAGTTATATTCCTATGTAAATCATATTATACTAAAAAATATTCGTTATAGCTTCTATACGGGAACTATCTTTAAGCAATTAATTATGATTTCATACTATTTAACTACTACTTAGTATTACTAAGTACTTTATAAAACCCTAAGATCTTTACCCGGGCCTATGCAGCACGTAGATCAAACAAAGTCTGTCGGTCAAACATAATCTCCGGGAGCATTATGACACGATAAACTTAGGAATGACGTACACTGAACTATATACTCATTATTACATATATTTTTTATTTTTAATAAATATTATTTAGGGCAATTTTCATTATAAATGCTTTTAATTTATCTAATTAATATAAATTTTAACATTATGACTTAATAAACAAATTTTATGAATAAATTCTCTCTACTAAAACGATTGTTTATAAATATTTTAGTGTATTTTATATCGAATATAATTATTAAATTTGTCTAATAATTTTATTTAACACAAATAATCTTCCATTAAGCGTTGTTCCTACATTGCCCCAATGCACAATCATTAATCAGAGCTTCGATTCTGGACTCCTTACAATGGGGAATGTTCAGAATGCCGCGTGCGATCCATTAGAATAACAATAATTACTCATTTGGTACATCATAAAGAATACTTAAAATACTATGTTGAAAACAAAATAAAAATACCACAGAATCAGTGTAGACTAAAACTATGTATTTTAATGTGTTGTACACAATCGAGTTACATTTAATATTTAATGTCTTCGGTTGTAGGTTACAAGATCAGAAGCTAAACTTAAGTTTTATAGAAACTATTAATTATTCTACTAAATGTTATGATAGCTTCAAAAGGCTTGAGACTTTTAATGTAATATTTCATATCGATATATGGAAATACACAAAAAATTAGCATAAAATTAGTTTATATACATTCTTACAAATATTAAAGTTTCATCAAATTTTAAGCAATTGTTTTAGAACATGTAGTGAACAAATATACATACACATTTTATTTATATACCCATTGTATGATGACTTTAAAATCAAAACGATACAAAGCGTTCGTTTCATAACATTATTTAATATTACAAAAACATTGCGTTGCGTATACGAAGTGATGCTTGCTTTATTGTTTGAGATAACAAATAGATACCAAAGCGATGAGTGTACCTGATTAAATTCGTTCATAAAGTATATATAATATAAATTTAATGCCAAAATAAATATCTAATAAAGCTTTGTAACAATTCATGAACGGTAAATCAAAATCACTGCAGTAGCGGA